AGAGAGTGATTATTAATTTCTGAAACTGGTTTCCATAAATTCTGAAATTGAAGTGGAACGGATGAAACTGATTTCCATTCAATTTCTGGAACTGAAGATGAACGGCCGAAGAAGGAAGGTTGAAACTGATGAAGGAGGAAGGTTGAAACTGATTTTTATTCATTTTCCAACATAACTTTCAGTATTGTATTTATCTATGAATATAGAAGTCAAAAAATGAAACATAAGCTCAATATGTTTGCTTTGAACAATCTTCAGATTTTGTTTTCCAGAATGAGAGTGGAGACAGATAAGGACAGAAAATTTTGTTATTATCCTAAATACGCAATAGAAGAGGAAAAATATAGATTGAGAGAAACTGACGGTTAAGAAACTACCTGATCCTGATTTTTTTCAACTTCAATCCATCTATGATATAGCTAATTGTCATTTTTAAATGTGACTGAAGAAACTCGTTCCCTTAATCCATGAGGTAGATCTCGCAATTTCCTGCAGTTTTTAACTGCTAAAATGGAAAGCATAGGCATGGATTTTTTCTGCACCTCCCATATCTCCAAGGAATGCAAAGTCAAAAGTTCCAAACGTTTGAGTTTCTTGAAACTAGCTTTAACACATCTCATTTTCGTTCCAACAAATGCATCGTCTTGCAATACTAGTACCTGCAATTCCGGGAGCTCGTCCAAAGTTTTCATAGGGTCTTCCTTAAGTTGAGAGCCTATCAAGACCATCTCAGTCAGGCTTGAAGTGATTTTATTGTGAGGTGGTATTTGTCCAAGATGCCCATCTATATGCAGGGTATGAAGAATCTGCCAACTGAGTAGTTTTCTAAAAACTGAATGCCTCTCTTCTGTATAGCAGTCAAATTTTCTGACCTTAATGGAGACACTTGTATTCTCTGAAGTCATGTCCATGAGACGGACAATCTCCATAAGATCCTCCAAAATCCCTTCAACAGTTGTAGACAGGTGTCGTAGCCTCGTCATTTTAAAAAGATCAGCAACATTACACACCCCAGGGTCAATGTTCTCAAGTATCTCAAGTTCTTTCAAACTTCCCAAATACAGTTTATCGTTATTAGGCGTCTGAAACTCGAGCGGAAGATATAGATACACAAGTTTTACCATTTTCCATAGGACATTTGGAATGATTACTTGACCTGAAACTCGTAGATCAAGAATCTCCAAGAATGACAATTTACCTATTGATGATGGCAACACCTTCAGAATACATCCTTTGAAACTCAGATACCTGAGGTAGATTGGCCATGTCATTCCCCTTGGGAGACCTCTCTCCTGAAAGTCAACCCGTTCAAAAGTTAGAACCCTCAGCACTCTGTACCTCTTCAGATTAAACATTCTTGGAGGCCATTGCAACTTCATCTGATGATTACACAGGTTCAAGAGTAAGAGAGACCTAAGATGGTGAACTTTTTCATTTCTTAACTGATCAACAGAAGATCTATCGTCTTCATTGCCTAAATGTAAAGCCATTCTGTGTGCAGGACTTCTAGTCGATGAGAAGGAATCAGAACTTCTCTCATCTAGAACCTTAAAGGAATATTCGTTTCCCTGCCGTAAGCATTGATCTTGCATGGTGTCATGAACACAACAAGACTTGTATTTTCTCAAAGATGGAGTTTCTTCTTCTTCGACCTCAACCATTTTTCTCTGTACCAGATCGCTCAAATATCTTTCTGCTAAATCCATCATAGTTTCATTATTTTGGCAATCATCTCGTGATATCATGCCTTCAGCCATCCATTGAAGATACAAATGCTCCACTTCTATCTTCAAACCCTTTGGAAACAAGCCCAAATAAAGAAAACAAAGCTTCAAGGGATCTGGTAAATCATAAAAAATTAAAGCTGAAATCGATTGTTGCATTAAAATTTGTTCAACTGGTAGGTCTCTATTGATTAATCGCTCGATATCTTGAAGCACCGTCTTCCATTCATTTGATGTACGCTTTGCAGCTAAAACTTCTCTGACTGCAACTATAGCTGATGGCAAGCCCGAGCACAAATTCAATACTTCGTCCATTATATCTTTCCTCCACGAATCATCTTCTACATATGTTATAAATAAATAGTTAAGAAAATCCTAAATATAATTGGGTAATTATGAAATAATCATTTCCATCATTTTGCCTGCATCAGCTCTTAATATACGATAAAAATCATCAATAAACAAAATTCTATCTTCAAGAGAAGCAATTGACTCTACGAAGAGGATAAAAATGATAAAGTTGCTTATTTGCTGTCATATAGACAGTTTTGTTGATTCTTTATTTGATTTAATTCTTCTTCCACTTTACTTCAAAAAATTCTCTAAATGGTAGTATTAGACAAAATTGTCAATATATATTCTACTTCTCAAAAAATAAAGATAAGAAATCAGACTAATTCTTAATTAACTTATTGTGTCAATAAAGAATTGCTCGCCAAAAACTGTTCTGTACCCACAAAAGGTGAAGGAAAATTATTAAATTATATTATCAGATATACAAAACACCAAAATAAGGGTTCTGAACTCTTACGAAGGTTTAGGGAAAAAGTTACATTGGGAAATTGAGTTTTTTGTGAACGCTGTTTGGTATGCACAGGAGAGTGAAATTTTATGTTGTTCATTCTGCAAGATTCATTCTGCAAGACAGACACTTGACTATGTATACACTGAGGGCCAGCAAAATTTTCTGAGAAACTATGGATTTATTTGTTGAAACGCAAGAATTTGGCTTTCAAGACTTCTAAGAGTGGAAAACTTTGACTAATAATCAAACTGGCAAGAAATTAAGGGAGTGTTTGATAGCATGGAAAATGGGTGGAAAAGGAAACATTTTCCAACTTTTCATGAATTGTG